GCAGAGAGGTTCGCGGAGGGGGGGGGGGGGGGGCAGAGAGGGGAGGGGGGGGTCAAGGCCAAGATGTGGGACAACAGAGGCTCTATTTAGGCTGGAGAGGCTGTCACTCAGGGAAACGCCCACGACACGGCTCTCTGAGAACAAGACGGCCTCTGAGATGTCCACACCTTCATGTTGTCCACGCAGCGGTGCATCTGTTTGCGCGGGGGTCCCGTTTAAAAAGATCCCGACTTAGATCCATTCAGATGGGTGTAACGAGCAGCTCGTTTTGAACTACTGGAGGGAAATACTGGTCTAATTATAGTCAGAGGCAACAACCAGAGCCAGGAGGCTGTCGGCTGTTGTTGAGACACGGCAAACAGGAACGGTTGCTAGGGAAGTCACTCTTACGTTGGGGTGGCTTTAGGGTTCGCTGCGGCCTCACAGAAGTTTGTAAAGTACAAACCAGATTATTGGGTTTCCTTTTCTCACTCTCTTGTGACTCATCTTTCCGGTTTCCTGCAGCGAACATTTTAACTTAATCCTTAAAGAAAGAGCGTTCTGTGAAACGGTAACTACCAAAAACACCATCATCATCATCATCATCATCATCATCGACTTATATTCATATTCATTATAAGAATCGGACGAGTTCAATGCAGTGCATGAATCATCGTCACCTGTAACCACTGGCTCACTGTCACCGTGCCACATGACAACTCGCCCCAGATGGGTGTGTCTGTGACCTGCGTGCTGCTCTGCAGCTTTGTCTGCTCATGTACGGTCATGCCTCCAGCCTGAATACACAGTATATAAACACCATCATCATAGAAAGACAGAAAGAAAGAAAGACAGAAATGTCTCCTCAGTCCTTCCCATCTTTTCCAGGATGTTAAAAAAAATCCCACTTGTCCAGATTGAGTTTAATGAGCAGTAATAACATCCGTCTTCCTTGTTTGCTCCGAGAGCAATCTCCTCAAAATGTAAACAAAAACGACACACTATTGAGCACACACACACACACACACACACAGACAGAGATATTCTGGGATGGCAGAGTTCAGAGTTGTGTGCTAAGCATTTCACGCATTCCTTGTTCCTGGGGCTGAACTTCACACACAGCCTGGAATTTCCATCGTGTCCATAAAGAAAAAAGAAAAAGATCCAACACTGGACCACCAGGGGTAGCTGACCACGACAGAATACTGGGCTGAGTTATGAGAACAGAGCGTTTTTGTCAGTAATGAAGAGAGCGTTCTTGTTTTCTTTTTTTTTTATCTGGGAATGTGATTACACGGCACTGCTACAATAACATATTCAGTACAAGGCAGAGTCTGGTCAGGTAAATGAAATAACCCCCAGGGCATGAGCATGGGGGAGAAAAATCAATATTTTAAGGATTAATTAAACCTTAAAATATTTATTTTACCTGTTAATTTTTTTTAAATAATCAGTTTGTGCATTTTCCAGCCCAGACAGCATGATTTTTTTTAACTTTTGAACTGGGCTGAACTGAGATGCAGAGACATGTAGTGACTGTAATCTCCAATACATAATTTAACAAAAAAAAAATGCTGCAGGGAGGTACTTTTTTATACCTAGATACCTTCAAGCTATGTTTTTTCTCCTGCAGCCTTTTACTCTCAGAAAAAAACAAAAAAAACCCAAAACAAAACAAAACAATTGCCCTCTGGTGCTGGAAAAAGTCAAGCCTGGAGTAGATGACGTTAGCAGAGCAACACCACTTAGTTTTACACATTGTTTGTAACAGAGGGATTTTAATATTAGTTTGTAATAATCTGCCATATATATATATATGCATGGTGTTTTTTTCCACCCAATTCAAACCATTTTGCAGCGTTAAAATTGACGGTTGTTGTGACTCACACATTAAGGAAACTTGCTGTAAAATGTTAACAATGGTGATAATGAGGGCAGGGGGGGGGGGGTTCTGCTGAAGGGCCATAATTAAAACCACAGGTTTTCCACACAAGAAGTGGTCGTTCTCAGCCACTGCTGAGTGAAGGTACTGAGGTGTAGCTGTGGTCTCTCTCTCTCTCTCTCTCTCTCTGTTGACACGTTCCACAACTGTGTGTAACACTCTCTCTCTCTCTCTCTCTCTGTTGCCACATGTTCCACAACTGTGTAACATGGTACATTTTTAAAAATAAAAATAAAGATTTATTTGACTAAGGAATGTGATATGCATTGCACTTCCCTGCACCATATTTGGCCCACGGCTTCTACGCCTACAAATATAGTATAGCGGAAATGGTCACGGGCAGAGGAGGAGGAGGAGGAGGAGGAGACGCCTGACAACAGCCTGGGAGTTAACCCGTATAACCTTTCCTCTGCCATTAACTGCAGGCATGTGGCTCCTTGGTGCCAAGTGAGAAAAACAGTGGAGCCTATGTGACAGATTAGAATCTGAACCTTTGCTCGTTAAACCCGCAACCCTTAGGATTTCTCTACAAATGAATGAGACAATAAAACAAGAAAAGAATAATAATAATAAAGGAGTGAACCGGGAACAGGGTGAGAACTTGTGTCGTTCCATTAACTCTAAATAATAATTACATATCAAATTGTCGTGGGATACAAAAGGCAGCGTTACACCCACACATTCTTGCAGTGTTGTTCTGACAGAAGCAGTTGGTGAGAGTGAGTTAACGACTTACTATCTCCGCTGCCAGGATGAAGCCTTTCGGAGTCTTCACGTAACTTTTCAGCTTCTCCGCAATGTTACCTCCAGACGCGGGCGTATCTGCCATTTTTATTTTTTTTTAAAACAACTCACTTATTATTGTACGGTGGTTTAAGGTAAAGTTCGTTCAGAGCCTGAACTCTGACGCGTCGATGAAAAAAAATAATTTAAATTTAAATCCTCTAACGGTCACAATGTCGACCCGCCGCCGCCGCTGCTGCTAACACTGTTTCCACACAGTCGAATGAATCAGTTTCTCCGATGTAGAGGGGGGGGAAAATCTTGTTTTAAGTCCACAAACAACCGCAGCTCTGGGGGAAACTCAGCTTTCACTCTCTTGGGCGGAGAAGGAGGCGAAGGAGGCGGAGAAAGAGGAGGAGGAGGAGCCGTGACCAGGGGTTGACAGTGAGCGGGGCGTCGGACTTTCTACTAACCGTGATGCTGCCTTCAGGAACAACTCCGACATTTTACGACAAAACAAGCGGGAATGCTAATTAACTTTTTGTTTGTGTATTTGTATGTTGTTGTTTTTTCCCCCCGGGCGAATTAATAATATTATACGGTAGATGATGACGAATAGATAGTGTTTATGATCACTTTTACCACTGTAGTTCGAATTAAATTTTACAATTCGAACCAGTGTAGTATTTCCCCGCTGTATATTTCCGCGGTTACATTAAATCCCACACTTTTCCTTTACAAATAAAGCACAAATAAAAATAAATTACGCCGTGTCGATATTACTTTAATAAAAAAAATAACCATAACTTTAAATTAAGTTACCCAAAAGCATAATAAATGACCCACTGACCGCACTGACAACCGTACCAACGGCTAACTGCAACAACTGCCCTGAACGCACCGACCCACCTGTCATGACAGCATTGAGTGTATGAACAGTACGACTGCGGCCGCAGCACTGACAGCACCGACCGCAAGACTGGAGCTATTACACCTGCCACAGCGCCTGCAACCAACTGACCGCATCATGACACCAATGCAATTAACACATGGTAGGCAATGCATCCACTAGGGGCAGTGCTGAGTTCAGATTTCACTGAAGGTCCAAGGTGAGTTTCTCAGATAATAACAGACACGGTGACGGTGGAGGAGGTCCGTTGCGTTCTTGCGGGTAAATACAGCGTGCAGTGTATATGGAACATTTTTGTTGTTGCCTTGTCCTTGGCCTCATCTTGATGTCCCCTTTATCAGCAACTCAGCAACAATTTTACATCGCAATACTGCCCCCAGATTTTTTTATGGTACTGCTTCAGACAGACAAGAAACTTGGGACAGAACTAGGCCAAAAGGCTTCAGAAATGACTAAATTCAAAATACAAAATGAGGGGAAATATAAATGCATTTTGCTTTTGCTGCTCCTCCATAAACTATAAATTAAAAAAGTAGAAAAAAATATATATCCTTGGCAGCTGCGGACAATTAGGAGCACGTTTTCCAGCCGTCAGCAGTATGACTGTATTTTGTTTGTGCATTTTGAGTATGCTCAGTTTTGTTATTCTTAGACAGTCTTCGAGGTGAGCTCGCCCAGATTCAAACGTGTGGCCTGTTTAAAGAAGAGGCGGCGGCAGAGAGAGAGAGAGAGAGAGATAACAGGACGTCCAAGGACGGAGTTGCTGGAACACCACACACACATCACCATGAGAAGAAGGAAACACACAGACACACACACACACCGCGTGAACAAAAGTACACGTTTACCCGTCAACAGAATAAGTTCAAGTTTATTTAATTTACTTTCACACGAATCCCATATAATAAGAATACAGTAGAATTCTGGAGACTCTTGGATATTTCTTTTTCTTCGACTTTGTCATTATCATAAATACTAATATGTATACATCATACACAATAAACACAGCACTATCCAAAGATGTAGAGAGTTTCACAAGACATCATTCACCACTAACAACAGAGTATATTTCATTTCAGCATATTTATAAGAGCTACGATGAACGAAGTGAAAGACCTGGAAGGAAAC